ACTGCTCTGACAAGAGTGGAATGAAAGAGGAACCCTGGAGGGACAGAAGATGTCGTATTAATGACCTGTGTTGTGTGGAACATTGTCCATGTGACATTGATACCCCAGAAGTGACTTGTGAAGGGCCAAGTCTTGAGAAAAGAGACCCCCACAGGACTGGAGTAACTGTTGGCAGGAGGTGCTAGATAATGAATGGGTTGCTACACCAGGCTCCCCCACTCCCAATAAGAGCTGCACTTGCAGTGAGTGTACTTTTTCATTGTGTGTGTGTGTGTGCGTGCATGCGCGCACATATATTCCCCATTATGTATAACAAGTCATGTAACACTCAACATACCACATGCGTCAGTATGTGTATTCCAGTCACTTTTGCAACTATTTAGGGACTTCATTCACAGGATATGATTTACAGTACTGTGCATTCCTTCCATTTTGTACCTTTTTGTTTCTTTGAGGAGGCAAGCTTCGTAACTGGGTTATTTTCATTATGTTGCTGTTCTACTTTCAACATGGTCATTATAAAGCACTTTTTTTCTGCAATTTTTCTATCCCAACTATAAATGCTTTCTCTGAGCTAACACATGGCTCATAGGCTCTAAACCTAGGAATGAATTCTTTAGATTTTAAAACAGTCCTTTATTTTTATTATGATCTTTTTTTTTAATTGTGGTTTACTCTATGGGTTTCCTGCTCCTAATACACTTCTTCTAAGGCTAATTGTGTCTTTTATTATTTGAAATAATACTTCCAAAATGCCTTTCAGTAGATATCATAGTGTTTTGCAAATACTGTATAGTTATGAGTGACAACACACCTTTGCAGGAAGTCTTTTAAAGAAATGCTCATAAATTGATAAACTGAAGAGATAGGGAGGTAAGTGATTTTTCCATAGTGACAAAGAAAGTCAAATGTAGAGCTGGGAATATAATCCAGGATTCTTGACTGCCCATCCGTTGCTCTAACCTCTAGACAACACTTCCTACATCCCAAAGGTTGAAATGTGAAATGGATAAGTTACTTCTGAAAATGTTCATGAGGCGATTTTTACATGTGACTAGAACAAAATAGCCACCACAGTATTGTAAGAAATAACCCCCCCCAAAATAGAATGCGTCGTTCTAGTTGGCAGATAGCTATTAGCTTTATTGGTTTGTCTGACAGCATTGTTTTTACTGCTCTGTTTTTACAACCTGTGAGGGTTGTGACTTTCAAAATATAGTCACTGTTCTGGATTTGCATCTTCCTGTGATTTGCTTCTTAGTATTCTTGACAGTTTCATCTGTCTGATTGCAGGCATGTATTGGAATATTAATTCTCTATCTCCTTCCGTTTGATTTTGGGTGCATACTGAGGTCTGCATGAAGTCCATTTTGACAACGGTCATCTACTTGTACTCCGCAGAGAGTAGGTTGTAGGCTATTCTGTAGCCTGCTCTCACATTCTCACTGTATATTTCTTCATCAAACTTACAGAATCAGAAGGAAGTTCTATTCTCTCTCAACAGAAAGGATAGGGAATATCAGAGCCGGCGATAGGCATAAACAGACTAAGCAATTGCTTAGGGCCCCAGTCGGCTCAAGGGGGCCCCATATTAATTATTATGTGTTGTGCGGCGGGGGCCACAAAATATTCCTGCTTAGGGCCGCCAGTGGGCTAGCGCCGCCTCTGGGGAGTATCAAGAACTTGTAAAGCTATTAAACTTATATACTAGATTTTGCACACTTTTGTCTGTGAGGGCATAGTTTATGATTGTTGGCAGTGCTTGCAATAAAGCAAACAGATAAAAATAGTATTAAATTCTGTGCCAAAGAAATAAGGATGCTTTAAAAAAAAAAAAAAGCACAAGACTCTACGTCTAAAGCCATTTCATGTGTTTTAGAGCTCGCCATTTTTATTGCTCAATATTTCTTTTTGCTTGTGGACAAAAACAAGGTATATTACTATTGGGTGAATCACTTTTACCAAAAGTTTTCTTTCTGTTCTGTATTTTCTATGCCCTTAGCCTCCCTGCTTTGGAATACTGGGTGGTCAATATTCCTTTACTTGTATAAATAGAGTGACCACAGTACTCCATGGTATTGGGGAAGTGAAGTAGTAAAGCAAGCAGAAACTCACAGGACTGAATTAAAATAAAAAATCCAATTTGTTTCACTCAAACAAAAAAGTCAATGAATTAATGCAAAGATTGAAGAACTATATATAAAAGAAACAAGGTTTAAAATAGAGGCCCCAGTGCAGCAAGATACGTAAGCACAAGCCTAACTCTGAGCATGTGAGTAGTTTCACTGACTTTAATGGGCTATTCACATGCTTACAGTTAAGTTTGTGCTTAATTTGTTTGCTGAATTGGGGCCAGAGAAGGGGGGAAAAACAGAAAGGCAAAAGCTCATCCAAAAGGGCCTTGGAAATACTTTCTCCCTAGGGATCAAAATCCAATCTTATGGAACATTATATGACCATGATTTAGCCCCCAGTAACTGTTGACTATATGTAGCATAAACATATGCCAGTGTGCACATTTAAAACCACCCCCCCCCCCCAAAAAAAAACCCACCTGTAAAACCAAGCCCTATCAAAACAAAACACTACATGAGCGGTTCTCAAACTGTGGGGCGGGACACCAAAGTGGGTCGCCACCCTGTTTTAATGGGGTCGCCAGAACTGGCATTAGACTTGCTGGGACCGAAGCCCAGCCCCGCTGCCCAGAGCTAAAACCCAAGGACTTCAGCCCTGGGTGGTGGGGCTCAGGTTACAGGCTCCCCCGCTTGGTGCTAAAGCCCTTTGGCTTGGGCTTTGGCTTTGCCCCTCTCCCCCCAGGGTGGTGGCGATCAGGCTTTGGCTTTGCGCCTCCCCCCCCTGCCTCCCCCGAGGCAGCGGGGCTCAGGCCAGCTCAGGCTTTGGTGCCCCTCCTGGGGTTGTGTAATAATTTTTGTTGTCAGAAGGGGGTTGCGGTGCTATGAAGTTTGAGAATCCCTGCACTGCACTATTGTGAAGGGACATGTGCCCCACATTGGCAAATATAGGGTTAACAGGGAGCCTGAGGGACCAATTAGTCCAATCTGTGGCAGAAGGAGGGGAGATGCTAAATGACAATTAGACCCAGCTGGAGAGAACCAGACTGGATGGTTCTGGTAAAGGAAGGACTGCAGGGCCAAGGGAGGAGACCTGAGAGAGCAGAGCTGTGGTAGGAAGCTTGTACTCTGGGCCTGAAAGGAGACGGCAGCAGTGGCTAAGTGTCTCTAGGCAGCTGCCAGAGAGGCTTGGGGATACCCTGAGAGAGCTCCTTAGCAACAGACTGAGAAAAACTGCACGGAGACAAGACTGGAGGGCGCAGCTCTAGGATAGACACTTGTAAGCAGGTAAAGATAGGAAGCAGCCTGGGGAACCAGTGAGGGATCATGAGAAACAGACTCTTGCTGCTTATCATAAGGGCTCTGGGCTGGAGCAGAGAGCAGGCCTGGGGTCCCTACCAGGCACTCACAGGAAGGGCAGTGTAAGCCTCAGGAGTAGAGGGACGAGGACTGTTAAGCCCAGATCAGGACTGAAGGCCTGCTACGTGGGCACTAAGTCTTTGGATGTTTGGTTGGACTTTGTGGTTACCCTGGAAGCAATGAGGCTCTTAGCCTCCTGGGAGGAGGGCTGAGTTGCAAGAAGGAACCAAATACTGAGTGGCCCAAGGAACTGCCCCCGGAGGGCAATGGACTAAAGGCAGCTGCTGTGCCATGACCACCAATGAGGGGGCACACCAACCAATGATGGATCCCTCTATACTCAAGGTTCCCAGATTTTTTTGTTAGCTGTGTTTCCCCTCCCCCTCCTTCTCCATGTGAGTCACATAACAGTGCTCCCTTGTGACTCCTATCCATCTGGGGCAGAAAGTGACTCACTGAGCAGTGTGGACAGCTCCCTCCTGGCACGGTGGCAGGACCTGGCTGGCACAATTTCCTGAGGAGCCCATGGCAGCATTTAGTGGACCGTGGCTCCTTCCCCTTCCCTCCCTACTTCCCAGAGCCTTTCATTCTCACAGGGTCCAGTGGGTTTAAAATATGAAGGACTGTGGCTGGCTGGGTGTCCAGGGCAGGGCACCAGTGGTGAGAACGTCCCCCCGCTCCCTGACTGCTGCAGACTCCCTGTGTGCTCTCCCTGCAGCTGCCCTGCCTAGCCAGGTCACCTCACTGGCTGCAGCCCCATGGCCCACCTGGCACACCCCTGATAATCTCATTGTGTGCCCCCCCGCCCCCCAGGGGGATGAGCCCCACAAACCAGGATTCAACACTATACCCACAATCTTTCTTTTCGGAAGAGGATGAAAGGAAACAACTCGCACAACAGATGTTAGTCATGTTGCTTAATGGATTACTGGAAGGCACTCCAATACTGGGCTGATGAGGGTGATATAAGAAGCTATATAGAATAAAACTAGTCTAGAATAATTTAACTCAAATATAATGGTTAATGTAAAATGTGTTCTTACCTAGGGAGCTGGAGCTTCTTGTTAGTGTCACTGGTAATACTATACTATGTAGGCTTCCATCATCACAGAAATAAGACCAATCTTCACTTATTTAGAGCCAGGAATTATAAATTCTATCCTTAGTTTTCATATGACAGTAACTTTTGTGATGAAAATTTGAAGGAGAGCATTAATATGTTACAGTGTATAGCATTGTGCATCATAATGCCCGGACCTCTGTGGTGTAATGTAATACTTTTCCTCAATGGATCCAGAAAATCATACGGTGTACCACTAATATTGAAACTATGCAGTATGGGGGATATAGCCTTAATTAGGGGTTTTTTTTTCAAAGAACAAAATATATGCCTAGCAAGGAGTTTTTGCTGAGAATTCATTCTAAATCATTTGTAACGAATACCTCCCTTTACTGCTGGCAGTGGTGATTTTTTTCCCTGCTGTCTCAAATGTCAACTAGACTAAGATAAAGAGAAGACATGAGCTACAGGTATGTAATCTTCTCTTTATCTCTCCTTCAATATTTCAGGAGTTTTATTTTAAATGTGGAGCACACCCAACTTCTGACAGTGAAACATCTGTGGCTTTGAACCTCATTACAACAAACAGCCAGCATATCACATGTATAACATGCACAGATATTAGGTAAGTACTGTGTAAAGTATCACAGACACACAATTTCAGTGCTTCAAAGTACTTATTTTTGCAGAAGTATTTCTTTTTCCTGTTTTTCTTTCCTGCATTTTTTACTACTTTGGTGTAATGATAGACTATGAGTTAAATTTTTCTAATTGTGTTCTTCTGTTTTGCCAACATAAATAAGATCCACTTTTTGTAGAGACAGTTGAAATGCAGGTGCAGATCTGATCACTTGTGCCCTTAAACAACTGCTTGGAGTGGACAAGATAGTGGCACACATAATCAGACTTGTACCCATAATTCGTTTTTGGAGCATAACATTTTGGGCCAAATTTCTGAGTGCAAGAAATGTTCCTATAAAACGGGAAACTGAGCCTTATGATAGACCCCACCCCTTCCTTTAATTGTTCAATATAGCTATGCAAAATTCCTTTTGATGCAAGATCTAACTTACAAACTGTCCACAGTTTGTGATATTCAATATCATAAATTAGAAAAACTCTAACTATAAATATGGGGATTAAAAATCAGTTTCTTGTCAGTGATTTTAATACAAACAATCAAATGATTTATAACACACTTTCCAGTAATTGATTTCAAGTGTCTGGTGCATCTGATTGAAAATGTGTTATCTTATCCCTCAATTTTGTCTTTAATTGATTTTGTGATCTTAAAGAAAAAAGGTAATATAACATGCTTATTAGGGAAGCAAGGATGCTGGTACGATTACTTTCTGATTATTAAATAGAAGTGGCTTCCAAACAAAGCTAGTCACTAGATAGCCTAATTTTTTTCTGCATATTTTCCCAGTGCATGTGCATCTGTTTATGAGAAATATTGGAGAGGCATCACATAACTGATAACACCATACTATTCCCTATAAATAATTATTATATCTCAGCATTGAGTGGTCTGCAGCTTGCAAGTGTAGAAATGTGCAAGTTTTCAAAATATGCAAAGCCAGGGTTCTTATAAGAGATCATGAAGGGTGAGTTAAACTATCTCCAAATAGTTTGTCTAGGACTAAAAAGGGATTTCTATAAATGAATTCCTGATTGAAGATAATGGGATGTTTTTAACTCATCCCAGACACAGTGCAATATACTACATTAAGCTGTTTTTCAGTGCTTGCATGCTGCTGCATTGACAGAGTCTGACTGGTTGCTGACAGTAGTTGACTGAAGAAAATGAGTATTACTGATAGGCTAAAAGATAAGTGTGGTCTGAAAAGGGTAGTATGGTGTCCATCATGTCACATATACTTGGGATTTATAACAATGTCATCTGTCTCTTTTAAAATTCATTTTGCATGCACTCTGTAGTTTATTACTTTAATAACTTGTCCCAGTGGTTAGCCACTAATGCCACTCCATAGGTAAGGTTATGATTGTGAGCCCTACTCACCCTCACCCTCCCGCCCCCCGTAAAATTGACAAACAAAGGAATATCAACATCAAATTTGGCAGTTTAGTTGTAGGGTTCTGGTATAAATTTTCTATCAAATTTGAAATGAGGGTTTCCTGAATTATGACACACTTAAAACAGAGCTGTTTACCTGAGTTCATGGAAGTCCTCTAATGTCCTCTCCCCACTTTGTAGCAAAAATCCAAATGAGGGAAAGAGATAAAACTTTGTTTACTGCGGTCGTCTAGTTGAGTTCTAGTGCCCAGGACCAAAATTAGCTGATTAAACTGTATTTTTAAATATTAGTAATAGTATAAATTGTAATGTCAGGAAAGGCATGTCTGCACCCACTGTTTTAAACAGAGCATCAAACAAGTGCTGGAGACCTAAGCTTTAAATGTTTTTAAAAAGTAAGTTTCTAGCCCTTTTCCCTGAAGACATAGGTCTCCAGATATGGACTGTTCACTGTGGGGGTGAGGTGAGGAGGGGTAGAGGCTGTTCGGTCAATGGAGAATTTTGGCACCCAAACTAGAATTAATCAGATAAGCAGAAACAATCGACCAGAGCTAGAGAACAGCGTGGAAGACATTGTTTATAGATAAGTTTATTGAATTGATCCATTTGACAAGGAATGATGGGGGGGGGGTATACCTGCTTGCTATACTCCCCCCTAGTTCCCTCTTAGCCCCAGAATTTCTGTCCTGCTGATCTCTTAAGGTGCCCACTTGCTTTGATTTTCAAAAATTTGCAGGAGAGGTGATGGGGGTATTTGGGGAGAGTGCCAGCATACCAGTGGTCCGGGCAAGAGAGCAATAGGGTGGAGGGAAGGGGAGCATGACGAGAGAGCACTCCACCCCTTCTGAAGACCTGAGTGGGTTTGACATGGGACTGCTCACTCTCTGAAAACCTTAGTAGACTTGCTGGGAAACCTCACCTTTCACAGCCTTAATAGTCTCACTTAGATGCCTCACAAGCATCACCACCCGTCAACCCTTCTCCCCCATTCACCTTATTATGCTTTGCAGATCGTATTGTTTGAAACTTCCTGGAAGACATGCGAAGTCCCAGAGGGCTGGAGAAGGGCAAACATAGTACTTATCATTAAAAAGGGGAACAAATAGGACCCAGGGAATTAGACTAGTCAGCCTAGTTTGCTATCAAACTGGGAATCATATGTGGGGGGTCCCCACAGGGTTCTGTCCTGGGTCTGGGACTATTTAATATGTTCATGAATGACTTGGATAATGAAGCGAAGAGTATGCTTATAAAATTTGCAGATGATGCCAAGCCAGAGTGGGGATGGGGTTGCAAGTATTTTGGAGTACAGGATTAAAATTCAAAATGACCATGACAAATGGGGGAATTGGTCTGAAATCAACAAGATGAAATTCAATAAAGACAAGTATACACGTAGGAAGGTAAAATTAAATGCACAACTACAAAATGGGGAATAACTGGCTAAGCAGCAGTATGTCATAAAAGGATTTGGGGTTTATAATGGATCACAAATAGAATATGGGCCAGCAACAGGATGCAGTTGGAAAAAAAGCAAATATCATTCTGGGGTGTATTGACAAGAATGTCATATTTAAGACATGGGAGGTAATTTTTCCTCTCTATGTTGCACTAGTGGGCCTCAGCTGAAGTACTGTGTCTAGTTTTGCGCACCACACTTTAGGACTAATGAGAGAGAATCCAGAGGAGAGCAACACACATGATAATATGTTTAGAAAACCTGACCTATGAGGAAAGGTTGAAAAAAAACATGGGCATGTTGAGTCTTCAGAAAAGCAGACTGAGCGGGAGAGCTAATAACAGTCTTCAAATATGTTAAGGCTGTTATAAAGAGGACGGTGATTAATTGTTCTCCATGTCCACTGAAGGTAGGACAAGAAGTTTAATGGGCTTAATCTGCAATAAAGGAGATTTAGGTGAGATATAAAAAAATCATTCTAACTATATAGATAGTTAAGCACTGGAATAGGCTTCCCAGTGAAGTGGTTGAATCCCCATCATTGGAGCTTTTTAAGAACAGGTTAGACAAACCTCTGTCAGGTACTACTGCAGAGAAGGATTTGGAACATGCCTCTGAGGGAAGGGATCAGAAGGAGACCCATCGGCCCGAAGGCATGGGATGCATTGTCCTCGGGATGGGGGTTCCATGACCACCACTCCCAAGAGGAGGAGATGGGAGGTGGTGGTTGGGGACTCCCTCCTAAGGGGGATGGAGTCATCCATCTGCAGACCAGACTGGGAAACTCGAGAAGTGTGCTGCTTGCCTGGAGCTAGAATCCAGGATGCGATAGTGTCTGCCAAGACCGATCAAAACAACCTTGGACTGCTACCCCTTCCTACTTCTGCTCGTGGGCACCAATGATACTGCCAAGAATGACCTTGAGCGGATCACTGCAGACTACATGGCTCTGGGAAGAAGGATAAAGGAGTTTGAGGTGCAAGTCATGTTCTCGTCCATCCTCCCTGTTGAAGGAAAAGACCCAGTAGGGACTGTCGAATTGTGGAGGTGAATGCTTGGTTACGCAGGTGGTGTCAGAGAGAGGGCTTTGGATTCTTCGACCATAGGATGTTCCGGGAAGAAGGATTGCTAGGAAGAGATAGGATCCACCTAACAAAGAGAGGGAAGAGCATCTTCGTAGGCAGGCTTGCTAACCTAGTGAAGAGGGCTTTAAACTAGGTTTGCTGGGGGATGGTGACCTAAGCCCAGAGGTTAAGTGGGGAAGTGGGATATGGGGAGGAAACACAAGGAAGAGGGTGCAAGACGAGAAGCCTCCTGATTCATACTGAGAAATTAGGGCAATCGGCTAGTTATCTTAGGTGCATATACACAAATGCAAGAAGCCTGGGAAACAAGCAGGAAGAATTGGAAGTCCTGGCACAATCAAGGAACTATGATGTGATTGGAATAGCAGAAACTTGGTGGGGCAGTTCACATGACTGGAGCACTGTCATGGATGGGTATAAACTGTTCAGGAAGGACAGGTACAGGAGGAAAGGTGGAGGAGTTGCATTGTATGTAAGAGAGCGGTATGATTGCTCAGAGCTCCAGTATGTAACTGGAGAAAAGCCTGTTGAGAGTCTTTGGGTTAAGTTTAGAGGCAAGAGCAACAAGGGTGATGTCATGGTGGGTGTGTGCTATAGACCACCGGATCAGAAGGATGAGGTAGACAAGGCTTTCTTTGGACAACTAACTGAAGTTTCCAGATCACCGGCTCTGGTTCTAATGGGGGACTTCAATCACCCTGACATCTGCTGGGAAAGCAATACAGCAATGCACAAAAAATCCAGGAAGTTTTTGGAGAGTGTTGGGGACAACTTCCTGGTACAAGTGCTCAAAGAGCCAACTAGGGGCTGTGCTCCTCTTGACCTGCTGCTTACAACAGGAAAGAATTGGTAGGGGAAGTAGAAGTGGGTGGCAATCTAGGCAGCAGTGACCATGAGATGGTTGAGTTCAGGATCCTGACAAAAGGAAGAAAGGAGAGTAGCAAAATACCAGCTTGGCTTAACAGTGAAATCTTCGGTGAGCTTAAACTGAAAAAGAAAACTTACAAGAAGTGGAAATTTGGACAGATGACTAGAGAGGAGCA